GAAACTAAAATCGTCACTCCGTGACGTCAAAAAAAATCTTTCAATTATCATTATTATTATTATTATTATTATTATTATTAACTTAAAACTAATAGGAAAATTATAATAAGAAAAAAACAAAATGGCGGATATAAAATGTAAACCGTATGATGGTTGTTTTAATCATTTATTTATTTATTTATTTTTTTAAATCGATTATTTATTGATTTTCGCGGGGCGGGGAGGCGGGACGGGGACGAAGTATACGAGGGGGAGGGAATGAGGGGGAGAAAGAGATATGAAGGCGGAAAAGAAATAATAAATTATTTTGTAGTAGAAGAATAAGAAGAAGAAACGAAAATAGAGAGGAAAAGGAGATGAGAGAGAGAGAGAGAAAAAAGAAACGTGGGAGGAGAAAGAAAAAATTTTAAATTTCCCGCCAAATTTTTTTTTTTTTTGACTACCACGACCACGTTTGTAATTTTGTATTTAATGAGACTGATTTATTATTATTATTATTATAGAATATTTCGTTTGTTCAAAAGGAAATGTAAACATTGTAAATGATAATAAAAATATATATATATATATACATTGTTAGCTTTCGATGATGATGATGATAATGATAATGATAATAATAATAATAATAATATTTATTACACGTTGTAAACTCTGTAAAAAAAAAAGTTTTAAAAAAATTTTTTGTTTTTCTTATTACTCGTGTGTGATTTTTGTTTTTTTTTTTTTAAACGGAAATTATTATTATTATTATTATTATTATTATTATTATTATTATTATTATTACCATTATTATTATTATTATTATTATTATGGAAGTTGAAAAACAATTAATTGTAATTCTCGCGCACTTTACGTAATTCCAACGTTGCTGACAACGTTGCGAACGATTTTAATTATTAAATAATAATTTTCGCATTTCGATTTCCGTTTCCGTTTTCATTAGCGGGAAAATTCGAATCAATATATATATATATATATTTATAATTAATTTTTTTTTTTTTTTTTAAATTCAATTTTGTGTTTAATACGTTTTTGTAAATATTTTAAATATATTAATTATTATTATTATTATTACTTGTCTTAATGTTTGTGTCGGAGGAGGTTTTCAACATTCATATTCCAGGTTTCCACCCGACCGACGATCCCTAAGGAATAAATGCCTGAATATCACAAGGATGATGCTGCATGCCTGATGAGTAAGTTCCATCTGGTTATAACCTATGACATCACAACAATTCTTGTATGTCTGCCAATGAGACCATCTTATTCGATGGAAACGAGTTATCTTCTGTACTCCTGGGTTTCATTCTTAATTTATACAAATTACAATTTTCTACCTATAAACTTAAGTAATCTGAAGGCAGTTCAGAATTTTTCTATTCTTAAAATTTTACACTAAAAATATTGAAAAATTTGCTCTGATGTATCAGAAAAATATAAGAATCAAGAGGTTTAGTTTTTTTTTACTTTTAGTTAACCAATCACGCTATTTCAATCAACCAACCTGCCTATTTCAATTTCTAAATTTCTGTACTTCAGCTTTTTGTCTGCTTCTTTGGCTGTCTCGTGTTTTTTTCTGCCGGCACGGATACCTCAATTAACTTACACCATTTTTCCGCATTATGTCTGAGGAAGAATATCCGGTTTGTTGGCTGGCACAGTTCTGTCAGTGTGGATTTGTTGATCATACAGAACTGTGCATGAACCT